TAGAGTTTTTTTATTTTTATTTTTTTCCTAGAAGAAAGCATAGCAAATATTCAAATCATAGTGATTTTCCGCTTTGTGATATTTGGAGTGTCTAATACTACTTCATAAAATTTTTACTACCATTGATCAATGCAGAATTTGCATGTAATTTGAGAATTTAACATGGATCTCTGCCATTATCTAGCTGTAAAAGAGAAACAGAAGCTAGCTAATTACAATCGGTCATTTACCTCTTTGAAGGCAGCATTTGATGTTTCCTGACATTCATGTAAACTAAGGTGTTGGCCATGACCTTTCTTAGAGTATGTGAGGAAATGTGTTTAAATCTCCTAAGAAAGGCTGAGAGGGCTGGGTCAAGGGCCGTAGAGGATACCTCAGTTTGATCTCATCCTCTAATTCTACTGTCTGTGAGTCAGCGATGACAGAAAACATATTCTTTTTGTTGCAAACCTGATACTTCAGAAAAGTCAAAGCTTTGCCATGAAACTGCATTCTAACAAGTTATTTTAAACCTAATAATATTCTGTAGTATTTGTCTGATAGAACAGATAATCATATGTGTTTCACAACTATTATTTGACAGTAAGCTTTTTTTTTTTTTTTTTTTTTTTTCAAATTGCAAATATTTTCTGGTTTCACCATGAGAAGTACACCATGGCCATGGACTTTTAAATATTACTTGTTTAGTTTACATGGACCAATTAATATATTCTTAACTTCTCTTATACAATAGTTATCCCAAGTTTTGAAGACAGAAAATGAAATTAAGCTCATTGTATATAAATCCTTATTATGAGGAAATACTGTGGAAGAATGAAGAAATATGAACAAGAAAAGATAGATGACCCAACTATTGCATGGTAAAAAGGGTTTGCATTAATTTATATGCCTTCAAGTTTAATTTCAATACAGTGCTTCTGTTGACTTACCTTGGGCCACTGAGGAATAGGCAATCAAGTAGTTTTCAGTTTAGGGAAGAAAAGTTTAAGGCTTTGGCTATACAGACTCAAAGCGTTTACATAAAATATGAAAATTCCAAGCACACATTTTGGCTAATAGAATCATCAATGTTACTACTTTTTAAAAAAATCTAAACTCACTACCAATTTTGGGATCATGTGGAGTCATTAGACAGTCCCCCAAGCCTAGATAAATCAGAATCTATATCTACTATGCAGAAAAATCAAGTGGAAAATTTCAGTTGCTAATTTAATCAGTGAAGACTGCTAAACTGAATATTTCAAGATTCAGATTTGATAACTTGGCACAGCATATCTGTTACTTTGTGGATGCAAGTAGAGAAACTTCAGTTTTAAAATATTTTTCTCTGGGGATTTTCAGATGGGTTGTTGAAAGCTTCTGAATACATTGAATATCTGTGCTTTTCTATATTTTATTCATTAACAAACGAGAGAAAAAGGAAAAATTTGTATAATTGTATCAACCACTATCAATAAAGCCCTATTATATTAAGAAATCTGCAGAGGACTAAGTCAAAAAGCTAGAAATATTTTTTATGGAAGTAAACGTACATCATAATGCATAAGTGGAATTGACTGTGTGTATAAGCTGAGAGACCCCAAGACATTCTTGCCTTCTTCAGCTTAGGTGTCAATGCTGAAATTCCACAAAGAGAGAATAATTCCTTCTGTTAAGCATTCTCCTCTTCCTTTGACCCTCTTAAATGGGAATGCCTTAAGAA